GTTCGTACCTGAAGAAGATGTAATATTGAAGTATGTCCCCTGACCTGAACCCACTCAATTACCTAGTTCGGGCGGACTTCAAGAGGGTGGTCTACGGTGGCGGAGAAATCGACTACCCCGCTGATCTCAGGTACCACATCGCGGTCGCGTGCCAGAATCTCTCGATGGCGTTCGTCCAGAAGGCTGTGGCGGAGTGTCGTGATAGTATTTAATATGCTCTTCAATATGGTAGTAAAAATGTCCGATCAGAATTTATAAAGTGTAATTTATAGCGCCTCGAAAGTCAATGAGGCAAAGTGACTTAAACTGTTATACCGGACATAACAAACCGTTATGCGAGTAAGGTAGACGAGTAGTTATTACTCTGATGCACGAGACTGGTACAACCAATGGCGCTAAGGACTCGTGTCGCTGAGCAATGCCCACCCATCACAAGTGAATCCTCCTATTAACTGGCTGAAGGGCATCCCTCTCCGACGGCAATTTTTCAGAGAAAAACTGGAGAAAAAACTCGACCACTGGGAACTATTGGAAGTGGGGAAACCTCAAGAAGAAGGTAGGGAGGATGAGGCAGAAGGGATGTACCGCAAGAGCACATTAGGGGAAGAGGAGATTCTCTCATCCCGATGCTGTACCGTACGGCTCCCGGTAGAGTCATTTGATCAACTTTGCCCTTTAACGCCCCTATCTAACAATTTTCTGATGAGATAGTGGTAACGCTTGTTCATTTTGATCTACCCTACTTTCCCGATTCTTACAAGATTCCAGTCGAAAAAAGTCGCTAAGTACTTTTCTGTCGGCGAAAGATACAGCGAATAATGGCTAAATCACGTGAATGGCCCACTCTGCAATTGGGCCGTCTCCCACTACAGAACAGAAACGGCTTACCGTAGGACTATCGAGTGTATATAGAATCCTTAGCCTCCTTATCTTTCGACTCTTTCGCCAATAGAGTGGTCATATACGTTTGGAAACACAGGTTCGGAAATCATCTGAAATGGAAACAATCGGTACTATCGTTGGGTAATCTATCATTTATTTGAGCAAAAAGAACTTTCATAAAGTCAACAACAGTTGAGAACTAGTTTTGCTAAAGGAAAGGGTAATGTTCAGGGACAGAGGTGGCAGCGAATTTGAGAAAGGATAAACAAGGCGTACAAGCAGAGAAATTAATTGGAAACTCAAAAACGCAGTTTGTGACTAATTCATTCGTTTGAAGTATCTGCATTTCGAGAACGAAATCTTTACCTTTCTGCCTTCTGCTGAAAGGAGCGTTCCGTCTGTGGTAAGCTGAAAAAGCAGGGCTAGACCTCTCGCTGTTGCAACTCCATTCACGCCAGGTTGACCAGCCAAGCGCGTCTCAGGATTGTTGTATAAGGTGAACTGTAATATCAAATATTACGAATGCTCTACATTTGACTTCGAGGAGAATCGTTGGTAGAAAAAAATGGGCAGGTTCCAGTTCAAGACACATGAAGCATTTGCACCCAGGGCATTGAGATCTGAATATAACTTAGATTCACAAGTAGTAATTAACTAACTGAAATGAGTAAGAAAGAAAGCCGACAGAATCGTCAATAAGTACTGGACGAGTATCCGATGAAGAGGGACATTGCCGCGAGTGAGAGAGAACAGATAAGAGAGCAAAGCCTGCAAACCCATTAGGCAAAACACTCAGGAGATACTATTCGGGTTTCTTGCTTTCATGCCACACACCTTCGAGTGACTAAAGAGGTGAATTTCTGTGTTGTTCCTGTCTGTTTCTTTCTGCACACGGAGAGTACCGCACTCCCAATGAGGGCAAAGCATTTCAGCTGAAATCGTTGGCAAAAAAACATACATCTTTGCCGAATCGTCGCATATTTTTCATTCCTTTTTCGAAATACCCACGTGGATTCATCGATCGTGCTCCTATCACAGCGATTTTTCGATCGTATATGAATTCCCTAAATGACCAATATTGAGGTGATCTTGATGTAAGCAAACTCGACGAAAACATGAAATGATTTACACAGGTGGTTCCGAAATGGTAACAATACTTTTGAATGTTTAATATTAGGATTGAGGTTAAGCTGATGCAGTAACACACAATTGATAATCGCTCCTGCAGTAACTCTGAACGGTCTTAGGAGGCATGGAATGAGCCCACCTACTGTTTTTCCCTCTAGTCATTTTCTTCTGAAATTGATCACCAAGCGGTCACTATTGGTAGAGAATAGCACCCCGCCCTCCTGACATCGCGCGGACTTATTTTGACGTCATAATCTATTCATGAGCCCCAACATTTTACATAAATACATGCATAATTTCCATATCTGAGAGCAGCAAGATAGGTGGCTGCTAGAGCGGCGTGTGTCGAGGCAAGAGGCGGAGACGTATGCATACAAGAAGGGAGTCGACGTGGAACACGCAGCCACGCCTTTTGCTACGCTCCGATATGGACGACACTTAATGGCAATTCCCGCGACATTCCGGGAATTCCCGCGAATTCTTCATGTGTAATACAGTTTAAAAATAGAATTGACCGTGTGCTTGTTGACTTACTGAAGGAGAAGAGAGCTCGAAAATCCGCCCGCAATAAGACCCTCTTTATTGCAATTGATCGTGATCACTGGACGAGTATAAGATGCTCAGGAGAGTTGTGATTTGCAAAATGGAACGATACGCTAACAAGAGACGAGAGAGGCCAGAAAACGGCGGGCGAGAGAGCACAATGGCATCGTCACGATGACACGACGTCGCAGGCCGGCATGGGCCTATTGGGCGCCAATGGGCCTAAAACCGATGCGTTCTGCGCTTGCTTGCTGGTTTTCAACTTTTGCATACAGTACAGCCTCTGCGAGGTCTCTGCCTGTTCATCGTGCACATTTGAGAGGTTATAGCCTCAATTTATCGCGGACCGTGCCTTTTAGCGACTTATACTCAGAAGGAAAACAAACCTCGCAGCAAGAGGGAAATTCAGACCAGTGAAACGAGCTATACGGATCTCTTCGGAAGCACATTCCCCGATGTGAACGTCTACGTCTGAAAGATAGAATTCATTCAAACTGTGAAAGCAATATGTTTCGTCCTTGTTTGGGTTCAGGGACTTTTACACTTACATCAGAGGACGTTTATACTCATGGTCAGTATAGAGCAAATACAGTATATCAAATAAATAATAGTATAAATAATATACTTTACTACTGTACTGGCATTGCTACTTGTCGCAGAGAATGCTACGGCAGGACAGGAGCGGGTTTTATACGGCGCAGAATAACTACGTACTGGCGATGTAGGTTTGGTTGCAGCCAGGATGCCTCTACTGTGAGGCGATCGCTCGCGTACTGAGGCAAGAGTCACAGTCACGGGAAGGGGTGTCAGTATAGAGACCCATGCTGTTGCAGAAGGCTACTGTGCAGGTTCGATTACGTCGAATTCGGACCGGAACCCAAATGAACTCACTTCAAGAAGCTACAGTATGTCGAGATAACTAACAAAGAGATCTTGGCTAGTCGTTGCGCGTCGCCGCAACGTGGATCCCTCCCGCACGGGCAGTCACGGCTGTATAGCATTCCTTTCCGCTGCGCGCTACATGAATCATTCGCCTGTTGCGCAATGTCGCCACGTGCACTAGGCGTATAATTTGCACGGCGGGGACGAATGTTACACACCTGAGTGATCCCAACCCTTCGCACTCCCCGGGGGTCCGGTTATGATGAATGGCGCATCTCCCTTAGGCATGCTTCCCCCCCCCCTTTAACGTTTGTAAAAGCGTCTAGCACTTCTTAGAACTGTGTTGACAGCTACTCGTCAAGGCAGAAAACGTAAGGGAGGGCAGGGGCTAATGCCGTTTGGACTCCAGCAATTTCGGCACCGAGCTCATTTTTAAATTGCCTAAGTCACCAAACCCGCTGAAAACATGTACACAAGGGTTATTTACCATCGTGATTACAATTATGACACTCATTCTTGGCGCTGGCGCCAAGAGATGACACTACGATTACCTCCTGGGCTCAGCCTTAGCAGAGCGCAGATAATCGTAGTGTCATCCATTAGCGCCAGCGGCAAGAGTGAATGTCATATTCGTAATCAGGATGTTAAACTACCCCTAATACAAGTTTTTAGCGGATTTGGTGAACTTAGGCAATTTAAAAATGAGCTCGGTGCCGAAATTAGCCT